ATGAACGCAGCCTAGGATGCTAGCCATATAACTCTTTCAAGGCACTATAGATAAAAAACTACCGGCGAGTGGTTAAGTCAATCTGGGTCTTTTAGAAATCACTCTACTTGATTTGAAGAACTTGACTGTGACTGTGACGTTAACCCAGGCTTTTGAGTGTATTTGTTAATACTAAACATAGCCATTATGAGACATCAGATTTAGCTYGAGTATAATAATGATTCTTTTTAAAAACTGTTTGTATGAACCACTCAACATTTATATATTTAATGAAGCCTTTGGTGACGTCACAGTCAGTAACATATTGGAAGCATGAACCTTCATAACTTAAAGACGCAACATTCAAATGAAGAAATATTTCACCATTCAACTATTCGCCTTATGTAGAATCAATACTGAAAGTATTGTATCAGGGGTTAGGTGCAATTCAAATTGTGTGAGGTCTTCTTAATTTGCACAAGCAGAGGGTACAATGGGTAATTTTTCATCATTTTCAGTTTATTGAAAGTGTTCCTGTGTCGTTTTCTATTAGCAAACGTATATCTGTTCTCTTGCTGATGTATCTTGCTTGAAGCATCTGTTCAGGAAATTTTGAACGGTGGTTAGTTCGGGTTCTGCAGCACCATAAACAAGAAGACCATAAGAAACTGTAAAGAGTACCAATTTGAATAGCAGTTCAATGTCCCTTTGATCGAATTCTTCCTTGCGGAGTACCCTCAACACATGCAGRCATTGATTTGCCTCGGACGAGCTTATAATGGACATGAGACGAGAATCTGGCGTCATTTTGAAATGTTTCTTCAATAATTGATAGTTCATTACACTGTGGTACACCCAAAATAGGAGGAAAGATATCGGAATGTCCTTTCTTTTGGAAAATCAATCCGTTCAAAAGGTCGTTCATAAAGATGTTAAATTAATAGATGAGGTCCACTGACGTTCGCTTGGAACATCCTACGTGAAGTCAGCCTTAGCACGTTCTACTACCACAATGTGATATCAGCTATATCTGTTTGTGTAAGGAGTATATTACTATACTAACCAACATGGATGCGGTGCCGGTATTTTTGCTTTATGATCAGCTGCTGCTTTCAATTTGCATGATACTTTTACTCATGCAGTTCTTGAGCTGAGTCGGAAATAGACTGAGATGGATGGTGAAAGGGGATGGTAACACCTGTAGAGAGCGACGTTTGAGTGGATCGTTCTTGGTGTGGGGATACAGYTGGAGAAAGGTAGAGAGGGAATACCATTCAATAATAAAGAAAGACCCTCTAGAGAATTGCCCATTGGTAGGTAAAGCGAGATCACGTTTTCTTCACTTGCTACTTAACAAATATAATATCTGCAGGAAACCTTTAAGCCTGCGTGTAGTTGAAAGTGAAAAGCGCTCGTCTGTCATAAGTATCTATCACAAGCCAAGCAAAAGAAACCTCCCAATAACTTTGCTCATCTGACGCGCTTCTGACTCGCAGTCGCCAGTGAAAACCAGCCTAAAGTAATCAGACACCTTTTGCTATGTATATAATACTCAGAAATAAAAATATCGATGCTGATATGAAGTGAATGTTTTTTATTTACTTTGTTTAAACACTAATGTAAATGTGGTTAATCGATTACGTTGGGTTGTGAGCATATGCAGTAGAGGTTTACAAAGTCTATTGCAGGCAGCCATGTTGGATGACGTCAGCGTGATCTCTTTCCCCCGAAAAATTGATTTTATTCTCATTTTAAAATGATTTTATCCAGTATTGCTGCCTTCACTTGGTCTTGCAAACCCTTCATACATAAAATATATATTTGCATAAAAGTGGGCAGAGAATTATATAGGATTTTCAAACGTTAATTCAGTCTATAGTAGCTGAAAGCGGACATCARAGTTGCTAAAAACACTGATGGAGTGAATAGATTAACAGAGTTATACATTCTATCGTTGCAAAGAATCAGTGTTGAGTATTATKTATTGTATGCTGATAATTAGACTGAATGCAAGAAAGTCTGGGATGAGAGGCTCGTTGAAATCAGTGCAGAGACTGACTGGATCCTGGAAACAAAATTATGGTGATATATTCCATATAAGTCTGCCGTACATCAACTCAATGATTGGTTCTTCCAGGGAGGTCTAACTCTCGTTCTTCGATAGACTTTATAATTTTCTCAATAAATGTTGAGATACACTAGGCAAGCATTAAGTCGCGGGGATACTACGTAAGATTAGGTCGCAGGGACAATTTCATCTTGATGTGACAAAATGATTTTTGTGTCATCTCGACAGAATTTTGTCCTTGCGACACGTTCCGCAAAATGAAACTTTTACGTGCGTCAGGTCGCGGAACTAAATTCCTATTACAACCCCGCCTAACAACATAAAAATGAATCAATGAAATCCTATTTTCAGGATTTGCCATGAAATATAGAATACTTGGTGTTGAATTAACAAGTGACTTATCTAATGAGCAATACACATGGTACGGAATTATCATTTGTACCAAGCTGAGTTAGATCACAATACAATATGTTATCAAAAAGGGRAAAAAATGGAAGTTTTCCTCTCTCCGATTGAGTGTTGCATGTGTGTCCTAGATAATGAATGTAATTAGACTGATTACGATTCTCGTTTTTCCTTCCGCAAAACGGCAAACGTGACCACGTTTTCATCGTTTCCCTGTATTTCACTTTACCTTTTAAGCCTTCTCACCAAAGACGAATGTTCTTTTTTATATATATCTACTACTCGGAGATTTTTGCGATTCCTTTTTACTAATTTTAAAGAAGACTTTTTTAATGGTCAACTAACGTTTCACTTTTGCCGTAAACGAGAATCTTAAACTCTCTATTGTAGTGCATGCATGTGGAGCGAATCACAAGAAAAAGACCCTTATGCGGAAAGTGATGGATGTAAAATACAGCTGTGCCAATCAAAAAAGGCTTGTAAAGGTTTTGTAGTATGTTGCATACCGGACCTGCAGTGTGGGCGTTAAAAATTTAATAACCGAAAGGTCATAAAGTCACATTTAATCTCAGTCACATGCCCAATCCATCCAATCCATTCTAGTCACATTTAACCAAATCCAGTGACATTTAACTCACTCCAGTCGCAATTCCAACCCATTCCAGTGAYATCCAATCCTTTCCAGTGACATCCAACCCATTCCAATCACATCAAATCCATCTCAGTCACACCAAGTTCATCTTAGTTACACCCGATCCATCTCAGTCACATCAAATCCATTCAGTCACACCCAATCCATCCCAATCACGTCAAAACGGATCTGGGCAACATCTTAGCAATCTCAATGACATAAAAAAATTAATAAGAATTTTTTTCTGCGCTTTGTCTGAACGTTTTCCCAGCATAATTTGTTTCGTGCTGACATTATTTAAATACAAACAACAAACCCTTTGCCAACCTTAAAAATTTTGAGCTTAGTTTGTACTGKTAAAAAATAGTGTTATATAGTATTGCCGTGTGTGAAAAATTATAAAGACTAGCTCAAAAATGTCAGCAAGCAAACAATCTTATTCATTCTGAACTGGCCACGGTTTCAAAATAACAAGGTTTAATCAGCATAAAACCGAGTCGAGGCAAGGCATAAAACGCGTAAAAAATAACAAGGTTTTAATTGAAACCGTGTCGGTGTAAACAGGGCCTAAACAGCTTGCTAAATTCACTTTATCGTGATTTATGTAAACAAATTTTTCAGAGTTTTGATAGTGCCTTTTTCGTTTATCTTTTCGTATTTTTTGAACCAGCGTATCAGCTGCTGCTTGTGTCTTTCTCGCAGTTGTTGCTCAATTTTCTTCATGTTGTCGACAAACTCTTGGATGTCCCTCTTCAGTTCGTCTAGTGTCTCGAGTTTTTCTGAGAAACCATCAAAACCGTTAATAACCCTTCTTGACATTCACGAATCCTAGTGTCAATCCTATACCCCCCTCACCTATACCCTTTTCCTCCGCCCCAGTATTAACTATCCTTGGCATGAATTAGCTAACACTTATGTACTGCAACACAAAACCTAGTGTCATTCCTATATTAACCATATGTAGATGATGGCTAGTAAACACTAGCGTGGACTGCGTCGGTGTTTCTAATAAAACAGTTATCGTAGAATGATAAGTTATACACCGTAGTGAAAATAGTAACTGACGTTTCGGACGTTAGTCCTTCGTCGGAGTCAAACATTGACTCCGACGAAGGACTAACGTCCGAAACGTCAGTTACTATTTTCACTACGGTGTATAACTTATCATTCTACGATAACTGTTATATTAAACATACATGACGACACGACACAGGGAGCCCGGCTTGGTGATGCTAAATCGGTAAAACGATCACGTTCCATATGTTGATGACATTAAATAATAATCGTAACTCAATTCACCCATATACAAACGTAATACAACTTGTAATGCAATAGTGTTAGACACTTAGCCGTTACGTATTTGAATTTGAATTTATTCCTTGCGGTATTAAGTTACGCGTTACAAACACTGGTGTTCTATAACGTAGTGACCGTTTGTATATGGGTGTATTGAGTTACGATTATTATGTAATGTCATCAAAATATGAAACGTGATCGTTTTACCGATTTAGCATCACCAAGCCGTGCTCCCTGTGGACACGAGTGAAAAAAAACGTCTGCGCATGCTCTGAATCCGTATGTAAATTAACCAAAACCTATGTACATTCGACTTTCAAACATGCCTGATAAATTGGACTTCATAAAATGCCATGCATAGTGTCCATGATTGAAACTTAAAGTGCTACTATGACGAAAATCGCTCAAACTTGAATTCAGCTGAAACTTTTTAAGAATACTCTTTAAAGGTCCAATAATCACTGTATGAAGTGTTTTCTCGATATTCAGGACGAAAGTATGATATTTTTACGATTATTTTTTGGAGTCTGTGACGTTATACACTCAACATCAAACATTGCTACATATATTTCTTTGTATATAAATCCTTAATTTATTTTATTCCTATGAAGCCCAAAGGGTGGCTAATGTGCTTATTTCACATTGCTTGTGACTATAATTTATATTTTGGGGTGTTTCGGTATTTCTTTCTCCCTTTACTACTGATATTTTGATCATAAACTACAAAGAAATGTATGGAGCGATGTTCGATGTTGAGTGTATGACGTCACAGACTYCAAAAAATAATCGTAAAAATATTATACTTTCGTCCTGAATATCGAGAAAACACTTCATACAGTGATTATTGGACCTTTAAAGAGTATTCTTAGGAAGTTTCAGCTGAATCCAAGTTTGAGCGATTTTCGTCATAGTAGCACTTTAAGGCTAATTCTTTCATCTTGTGTTTGTTAATACAGTATCTTGGTCTGACAAAAATATGATTACGTTTTTTTTTATACTTGGAGAAAACAAGCGTTTTTTTTTCTCACTCAAACTCTTCAAAATTCTTAGAAACAAGCCAAAATTTACGCATGCGCAAACGTCTATCTCTAGTGTCATACTTGACTTGGACCATCGCCTGATGACATCGTGCACGCATCCCAGCACAATCAAGATGGGAAATGTGTCATTCCTCTTCCCTCTTCTCCCCTCCCCTCTCTACTAACCATCCTTGACTTTAGTCATCTTTCGCCKGATAAACTCGTACACGCAACCCAGCATCATCAAGAAKAACCAAAATCCCAGCAACGTGAACAAGGTATAGTTGAACGAATTGGTGTTTGCTGTGAACAGACCAGAACTGTACTCGACTGTCCTTGGAAGATCCTCGGGTGGCTACAACACAAACACGCGCGTTAACAAAATGCAAAATACAGCTATTTTGAAAATAATAATTGTTGAAGGTTTTGTTGCATGTAGCTTGTGGGACGCTGCATCTTGCATATTCTTTGTTGTTTACTTAGCTTGAATGTATTTAACTCATTTGTAAGCAAAATCACAAAAAAAAGAAGAAAAATGACCGTAAAAACGCGCAGACGAGGTTTAGGAAAATTGCATATCGTAGTTAGCTTTTGCTATTAACATTGCCCTTAGTGCAATTCAAAAACAATACCTTAACCATMCTTTTTTTGAAATAGCGGTATAAGAAAACTGTTAATTGTTGCTAAGAAAAGGGGAACAAAGTTATCATATGACTTTACCCTAAGCCCTATCCCCTGGTGATTTTGCGACAAAATTAAGGACCAAACGAAGATCGAGGGAATTAATATACCTACTTATGGTCTATCACAAATCCTGCGTTTGATTTTTCAATTATTTCAAGCTAATTTCAAAATTTGTTCTATCCTGACCGATTATTAGGTTTATACTAAAACAAATAGACCTTACGTTTTTTATGGTCTACGAGTCAATAGCCTATTCGGCCTCATGCCGGACTTTCGACTCGTAGACTAAGAGAGCGATAGTTCTAACTGTCAGAGGGAATTAAACTAGTAAAAGGCTATGTGTGAGTTTTTGTGCTGGGCCTATGGGCCCAGTACATTTGTTTTTGGTGAGTTAGGTATGATCGGAATTTAGTGTTACGAATGCCATTGGTGGACCTCGTCATG